GTAATATCAAGTGATTCTTAACTTGCTTAAAGTATCACGAAAAATGTTTTATTTTATATGAAAACGTAATTTAATCAACAAGCAGGAAAATGATAAAATTTATTTGAAAGGTCCAATCAGAATTCACATGAATATAATATTGGCACAAAATATATTTGCTATAAAACTGACATATATATGTTTATCAACCTGTGTTATAGCACTCAACCCTCAAATCTTCACCAGTAAAGCTCAAACCGAAACATCTGAAAACCAAAAAATGTATAAGACCAATTAAAACACAATTATGAGCTGTATGACCAAACGGCTCCTTAATAATAAGGAATGGTCACAGTTACTGATTCATTGTTGGTTGCTTATGTCCAGTGGCAAGTATCTCACAGTTTTTGAAACTATGATAATGTTACCTTCTGATATATAGGTCAGACCACCAATTCACCCACTTCAATTTAGAACATATGTAAAAGTAGCCCTTCCCTGACAAAAAATAGTGCTTTTGATGTCATTATATTTTACTTAAACTATAACAAACAAATTTGTAGAAATGAAACTTTTGATGAAAGAGAAATATTTGTAGACCATTTTGAGCCAAAATTTACTTGTCCATGAGTTTGCATTAAAAATTCAGGATTAATGCACTCCATAGTATACTTATTAAGATTTCCAGAAAACCAGGAGTTATTTTTAGCTCACCTGCCCCACAGGGCCAAGTGAGCTTTTCTCATCACTTGGCATCCGTCGTCCGTTAACTTTTACAAAAAAATTTTCCTCTGAAACTACTGGGCCAAATTTAACCAAACTTGGGCACAATCATCATTGGGGTATCTAGTTTAAAAAATGTGTCCGGTGACCTGGCCAACCAACCAAGATGGCTGCCATGGCTAAAAATAGAACAATGGGGTAAAATGTAGATTTTGGCTTATATCTCTGAAACCAAAGCATTTAGAGCAAATCTGACATGGGGTAAAATTGTTTATCAGGTCAAGATCTATATGCTCTGAAATTTTCAGATGAATCAGACAACCCGTTGTTGGGTTGCTGCCCCTGAAATGGTAATTTTAAGGAAATTTTGGTTATTATCTTGAATATTATTATAGATAGAGATAAACTGTAAACAGCAATAATGTTCAGCAAAGTAAGATCTACAAATAAATTGTTATGACCAAAATTGTCAGTCAACCCCTTTAGGAGTTATTGCCCTTTATAGTCAATTTTTAACAATTTTTCGTAAATTTTTGTAATCTTTTACAAAAATCTTCTTCTCTGAAACTACTGAGACAAATTTAACCATACTTGGCCATAATCATTATTAGGGTATCTAGTTTGAAAAATTTGTCCAATGACCCCGCCTTCCAACCATCATGGCCGACATGGTTAAAAATAGAACATAGGGGTAAAATGCAGTTTTTGGTTTATATCTCTGAAACTAAAGCATTTAGAGTAAATCTGACAGGTGGCAAAAATGTTCATCAGATTTAGATTTATCTGCCATGAAATTTTCAGACGAATCCGACAACCCATTGTTGGGTTTCTGCCCCTGAGCTAGTAATTTTACAGAAATTTTGCAGTTTTTTGTTATTATCTTAGATATCATTATAATATCTCATATCTAATACTATTAATTATGATTTAAACCTTATTTTACATGATTTCCAAAGCATCAGTAAATACAGGTGAGCGACACAGGCTCTTGAGAGCCTCTGGTTAGTAGTTCTTGACTTCCAAATGGAAGTATTTCGCTACAAGACTTTAAACATTGGTTGAAAATTGGCCTGAAGAAAGGTTATACATGTACAATTCAGGATATACCTGGTTTCTATGAAGTTAATCTTAAGGTAAAATATTTAGAATGCTGTGAAAATTGCAAAATTTGGTTGAATTAGATAAGGATTTTGAATTGGTGTTCTGACACCTATAGAAGCAATGATTGAATCTCAGATAAATCTCATACAACAATATCTTTGAACTGCTCAGATAGATGTTTAGAATTCAGTGGCAAATATTTCATGAATATTCAAATCAAGAACAGCACAACAACGACATGATCTTGTGCAATGCCAAATCAAAATGTGTTAAAGTTAGGCTTTCAAAAACTCAAAAAAAGTGACCATTCATCAAATCAGTGTACATTTTCAAATATCATATGAACATATTATTGTCCTGGGTATGCATGAAATATTTGCTACTGGACATTAGGCAACCATCATTTTATCAGTAATTTACTTTTTTTTTTTGGCAACGAGTTTCCAAAATACAGGATAACTATAAATAATTTAATTTTGGATGTAACGCGTCTTCTGATTGGCTGACGTTGTTTTGTTTATCAGCTCATAGACATAATTTTGTCATGTGACCGTGACGTCATCAACATTTTTTCATGGTTTACTCCGGTTTAAAATGGAATTTAGAATTAAATTATAAGAAATGACTGTAATATTTTTTCTGTCTATTCGAAATAACATAAAAAATGTGGTGCACACTTTAAAATAACCCACTACGCGGTTTATTCAGTGTGCACCACAGTTTTGATGTTATTTCTTCATAGACAGAAAAAATATTACAGTCATTCCTTAAATAACTTTTCCTAACCATCAACTGACAAAAAATTATAAGTGAACAGTTAAAATATATACCCCACCTGAAGGTCACAACTGTTTTAGAACCGCACCTGGAAGGTCACCAACTGTTTTAGAACCCCACCTGAAGGTAACCAACTGTTTTAGAACCCCACCTAAAGGTCAACAACTGTTTTAGAACTCCACATAAAGGTCACCCACTGCTTTAGAATCACAACTGAAGGTCATCAACTGTTTTAGAACCCCACCTAAAGGTAACCAGTGTTTTAGAACCCCAACTGAATTTCACCAACTGTTTTAGAACCCCACCTGAAGGTCACAACTGTTTTAGAACCCCACCTCATTGTCACCAACTGTTTTAGAACCCCACCTGAAGGTCACAACTGTTTTAGAATCACACCTGAAGGTCACCAACTGTTTGAGAACCCCACCTTAAGGTCACCACTGTTTTAGAACCCCACCTGAAGGTCATCAACTGTTTTTGAAATGTTAATCTTGTTTTAATGGCTTGTTAAACACCCACCTCAAGGAGGTCTATGGAGGAACAGAAATTTGATTTAGTTTCTAATTTAACCTTTCATGCTATCATGAAATTAATCTGTCCTTTATAAAATTTTTCCAATATCAGCCTGAAAATTTATTCCGCTCATGTTAAGTTAAGATATTACAATTTTGGTTTATTAAAGGAAAGATTTTAAATTTTGTTTGATCAACCTTTACACAAATTAAAGGTTTGTATATAATTTTCAAGTCAAAATGGACTCGAAAAAATTGAGAAATTTGATTAAGCACAGTGATACTCAGATCTGCTTTAAACTCGATTGGACTTAATTTCAATTATTATTTGTTCATAGCTATTTGTGGTCATTGTTTACGACATTAAGATGTTAATGTTTGCTTTATTGGGGAAGAAAATTAAGTATTTGCTACCTCACACTTCAGAAAAAAAATTGTTACGTAATCCCACATAATTTGATAAATTAAAAGAAGCAGCAGTAATCTAATTTTTCTCTTAAATATCATCTATTTGAAAGATACAGCCTGAAAATAGAAGTAGGTATTTTAAAAGTACATGTTTGTCCATATTAACAAACATGTCGAGCTAGACAGGAAAATATTTATGATGACCAAACTGAAAACCACACCGTTGAATACCCTACCAACCCAAATATTCTGACCGATGGAAGACCATATGTTCCAAGACAACTTTTATCTAATGGAACATCATGAGATCTAAATGAATAGAAAATAATTTGCAACTGACCAACGAACACTAACAAATAAACATTTAGACATATAAAAGGAGCAAATCAAGGCTTAAAGAAGTTTTTTCAAACGGTAATGAGGATAAATTTCACACTTAAATTAAGAATGACAAACATGAACAATTAAGTGATACATTGATGCACAATCAATTCTGATTTGAATGCTGTTATTATGTTATAGATACCACAAGGTCATGTGAGGTGACCATATTGTTGAATCATTAGTCAAGTAGTTCAATGCTCTATCTAATGTAGAGCACAAATTTAATGCTTTAGCTAATGTACTTTTACCAGTTTAATGCTCTAGCTTATGTACTTTTACCAGTTTAATGCTTTAGCTAATGTACGAGCACCAATTTAATGCTTTAGCTAATGTACAAGTAGCAGTTTAATGCTCTAGCTTATGTACAGGAACAAGTTAATGCTCTAGCTTATGTACAAGTACCAGTGTAATGTTCTAGCTCATGTTCAAATACTAGTTTAATGCTCTAGCATATGTCCAAGTACCAGTGTAATGTTCTAGCTCATGTTCTAATACCAGTTTAATGCTCTAGCTTATGTCCAAGTACCAGTTTAACGCTCTAGCTCATGTCCAAGTACCAGTTTAATGCTCTAGCTTATGTCCAAGTACCAGTTCAATGCTCTAGCTCATGTCCAAGTACCAGTTTAATGCTCTAGCTTATGTCCAAGTACCAGTTCAATGCTCTAGCTCATGTCCAAGTACCAGTTTAATGCTCTAGCTCATGTCCAAGTACCAGTTTAATGCTCTAGCTTATGTACAAATACCAGTTTAATGCTCTAACTTATGTACAAGTACCAGTTTAATGCACTAGCTCATGTCCAAGTACCAGTTTAATGCTCTAGCTCATGTTCAAGTACCAGTTTAATGCTCTAGCTCATGTCCAAGTACCGGTTTAATGCTCTAGCTTATGTCCAAGCACCAGTTTGATGCTCTAGATCATGTATGAAATTTTACTAGTCTGGGGAATTGGACTAGTGGCTAATGGTTTAGACTGAGAACCAGGTTTAAACTGACTTAAAAGACTGAATTTCTATTTGTTTGGCCTTGGATTTCATTAGGCTTTGTGTGTTTAACAAACAAAGGACAAAAATGCAGTGATGCGATAAGAATTTTAATGTAAAATGTTTTGTTTTTTAGATAGACAAAAGGATAAGGTGTGAATCTGTTATGTCAAAGACAACAGGTGATAAGGTTTGACAGATCTGTTTAAGAGGTAAAAATCTCTTTGATGTTTTTCAGGTGAGATGCGACAAGAATCTATACATTGAACATTTTGTTTTACTAGAATTATTTATGTTTTATTGCAGTTTTATTGAAGGTATACATGTATTAAGTCTAGTCAACTAATCTGTTATTGACAGCCAAGTTGAAATTAGATAGAGCTCAAAGGAAGTTTAAACCCTTTTAAGTTGTGTACAGTAAATAATGAAATATTGTCATATATATATAAAGATAAGAAGATGTGGTATGATTGCCAATCGAACAAATTTCCACAGAGACCAAATAACATAGAAGTTAACAACCATGAGCAAAACCCATACCACATAGCAAGGGTATAAAGGCCATGACACGCCAAATGTAAAACAATGAGAAAACTAATGGCCTTAGAATATCCACACAAGTTTGAAGAACAGTGTTAAATGATAGCAGAGCACATTTTTTGCTAAAAAGACTAAAATTATTCCATTGTTGGATTCATTTTGTGACCTTTAGATATGTAAATGAGATGTCAATGATACAAAAGAAACAGCAACATAAAACAGAATTCATGTCTTTTAGGACACCATGCCTGCTTGCTCTATTTACTGCTCAATCTGAGTCAAAAAGCTAATTATGCAAATACTTCCAAAAGTTTCCACACAATAATGAACTTGTATACTAAGTGACAAGTTAATGTGACCACAAGTTCATGTCTCAAACAAAAACTTTTACCTGTTATGTAGCCGATGAACAGACATACAGACATACTGTAAAATATAATGCCCCCTACTATCATAGGCGGGGCATTTGGTGATTTTGTATTCTTGGATGATGTTGGGATGATAAATATAAAAATAAGGAGATGAGGTATAATTGCCAATGAGACAACTATCCACCAAAGTTCAAATGAAGTGGATGTATTGTAAGCAATTATAGGCAACCATACGGCCTTCAACAAAGAGAAAAACCCATACCATTCAGTAATGCTCATTTAGTTATATTTACATTTGATAGAAGTCTCAGATGTAAAGATTGATTGATTGTTGCTAGCTAACATGCAAAGCTGTAAAGACTGAAAGTTTCACTGGTAACCTATTTAGAAATAATTCATCCATGTCATGCCCTACATGTTCATTTTAACATGAGTATAGGCATTATATTTGTAAATATCTTTATCCAAATGTTTACAGAAATGTTCCTTTTGGTCCCAAGCCTCGTTCCAAATACAACTGACAATGAATTAGTTGTGACATCAAGCATGTGTAACCCATGATTTATTGGATTAAGAATATGGTATTTTTCACAAGGCAAAAGAGAGCTTCATATTTGGAACCAATAATAAAAGTGTGCTTTCTTATTTTGTTTGTTGACCCTAAACTACCGTATGTTTTTTGCAAATTTTAGATATGCACAGTCCAATTAAGATGTGACTTTGTTTTTTGCTTTGCAATTTTATCTTTAATTTGCAGATTTACTGACTGTAATAATATAAGAAATCTCTGAGTAAAAATTACATTTCATAAGTTAATGAGGTAACATATTACAATAGAAAACTTGCTTGTATTTCTGTTTTCCTTAAATTGATTTAGTTCTTATGGTCCAAGTAGTTTGATTAAAAAGGTGGAAATACTGCTTAATTGTCAGTAAACAAATATTATGAAAGAGTTAAGTATTGAATAGAAATAAAAACAAGATTTCTTCAAAAAGAATGCATAAAACAAAGATATATCCTTGTGTAACCTTCATTAATACATATTTTTTACTTTTTCTGTAAAATAATGAATTACTTAATAAATGTGATTACTTATCATCTGTCATTTGTAGAAAATAACCAAACAGTACAAAGAAAATACAAGTTTATACAGACAGAGTGAGAATTGTTGTTCCAAGGTAAGAATTAAATACTGATATTTTGAACTTAACATATGGGAGGCTTTAACATGGTCAAATCCAACTTGCAACCTTGGGTGCTTTGATTGGCAGGTGTTTCATTTAAAAGGACTTTTGACTTTAAATATGTTCAAAACTCAGAATCAGATCAGTTTAGAACTATATAGTTTGCTTAAAAGCTACCTGGTGACATGAGGCAATTTTTAAATATGACCTATAAGGGTACCCTATGGGAGCCTCATATGGTATAGACACTTGTTTGCCATTGGAGAGCATATTTTGAGCCATATAGAAAAAATGGTTTTCAGGTGTTGAAGGAAGACTACCTTATATAGAAGTTCACAGTTTTGTCGAGCCTGCAACATTTATGTCGCGAAAGCGAGATATAGCAATCCTAGATTCTAGCGGCGGTGGCAACATTTAGGGTCAGTCTATGGTTTAAGTTTTTTTTTAAGACATTAATAACTTGGTCAAACCTTCATTGAATTTTAGGAAATTTGGAAATAAGCTTCTTTATGACCAAATCACAGTATATTCAGTGAGAAATATTTATTTTTATTTTTCTGTATTTTACTGATAAATGGACTTAAGTTTTTTTCCCAATTAAACATTTAGATTCAGTCTGAGGTTAAAGTTTTCAGTTATCAATAACTTTGTCAAACCTTCAAGGAATTTTATGAAATTTGGATAGAAGCTTCTTGATGATCAAAATAGAGTATCCAGAACAAAATTTTGAAAATATTTATTTTCATTTGCCCACATTTTACTGATAAATGGACTTAGTTTTTTAGCTCACCTGGCCCGAAGGGCCAAGTGAGCTTTTCTCATCACTTGGCGTCCGTCGTCCGTCGTCGGCGTTAACTTTTTACATTTTGAACTTCTTCTAGAGAACCACTGAATGGAATGAAACCAAACATGGCATGAATGTTCCTTATGAGGTGCTGACCAAGTGTTGTTACTTTGTAGCCGATCCATCATCCAAGATGGCCGCCAGCCGGGGACTTAGTTTAACATAGGACCCTATGGGAAATGCATACAAATGACTTCTTTTAGAGAACCACTGAATGGAATGTAACAAAACATAGCATGAATGTTCCTTACAAGGTGCTGACCAAGTGTTGTTACTTTGTAGCTGTTCCATCATCCAAAATGGCCACCAGTGAGGGACTTAGTTTAACATAGGACCCTATGGGAAATGCATACAAATGACTTCTTTTAGAGAACCACTGAATGGAATGAAACAAAACATAGCATGAATGTTCATTAGGAGGTGCTGACCAAGTGTTGTTACTTTGTAGCTGATCCATCATCCAAGATGGCCGCCAGCGGAGGACTTAGTTTAACATAGGACCCTATGGGAAATGCATACAAATGACTTCTTTTAGAGAACCACTGAATGGAATGAAACAAAACATAGCATGAATGTTCCTTACAAGGTGCTGACCAAGTGTTGTTACTTTGTAGCTGTTCCATCATCCAAAATGGCCGCCAGTGAGGGACTTAGTTTAACATAGGACCCTATGGCAAATGCATACAAATGACTTCTTTTAGAGAACCACTGAATGGAATGAAACAAAACATAGCATGAATGTTCATTAGGAGGTGCTGACCAAGTGTTGTTACTTTGTAGCTGTTCCATCATCCAAAATGGCCGCCAGTGAGGGACTTAGTTTAACATAGGACCCTATGGGAAATACATACAAATGTCTTCTTTTATAGAACCACTGAACGGAATGAAACCAAACATGGTATGAATGTTCCTTATGAGGTGCTGACCGAGTGTTGGTACTTTGAAGCCGATCCATAATCCAAGATGGCCGCCAGCGGGGGACTTAGTTTAACATAGGACCCTACGGGAAATACATACAAATGTCTTCTTTTAGAGAACCACTGAATGGAATAAAACCAAACATGGTATGAATGTTCCTTATGAGGTGCTGACTGAGTGTTGTTACTTTGAAGCCGATCCATAATCCAAGATGGCCGCCAGCGGGGGACTTAGTTTAACATAGGACCCTATGGGAAATACATACAAATGTCTTCTTTTAGAGAACCACTGAATGGAATGAAACCAAACATTGCATGAATGTTTCTTATGAGGTGCTGACCGAGTGTTGTTACTTTGAAGCCGATCCATAATCCAAGATGGCTGCCAGCGGGGGACTTAGTTTAACATACCACCCTATGGGAAATACATACAAATGTCTTCTTTTAGAGAACCACTGAATGGAATGAAACCAAACATGGTATGAATGTTCTTTATGAGGTGCTGACCGAGTGTTGTTACTTTGAAGCCGATCCATAATCCAAGATGGATGCCAGCGGGGGACTTAGTTTAACATGGGACCCTATGGGAAATACATACAAATGTCTTCTTTTAGAGAACCACTGAATGCAATGAAACCAAACATGGCATGAATGTTCCTTATGAGGTCTTGACTAAGTGTTGTTACTTTGAAGCCGATCCATCATCCAAGATGGCCGCCAGAGAGGGACTTAGTTTAACATAGGACCCTATGGGAAATACATACAAATGTCTTCTTTTAGAGAACCACTGAATGCAATGAAACCAAACATGGCATGAATGTTCCTTATGAGGTGCTGACCAAGTGTTGTTACTTTGAAGCTGATCCATCATCCAAGATGGCAGCCAGCGGGGGACTTAGTTTAACATAGGACCCTATAGGAAATACATACAAATGTCTTCTTTTAGAGAACCACCGAATGCAATGAAACCAAACATGGCATGAATGTTCCTTATGAGGTGCTGACCAAGTGTTGTTACTTTGAAGCTGATCCATCATCCAAGATGGCAGCCAGCGGGGGACTTAGTTTAACATAGGACCCTATGGGAAATACATACAAATGTCTTCTTTTAGAGAACCACTGAATGCAATGAAACCAAACATGGCATGAATGTTCCTTATGAGGTGCTGACCAAGTGTTGTTACTATGAAGCCGATCTATAATCTAAGATGGCCGCCAGCGGAGGACTTAGTTTAACATAGGACCCTATGAGAAATACGTACAAATGTTTTCTTTTAGAGAACCATTGAATGGAATGAAACCAAACATGGCATGCATGTTCCTTTTGAGGTGCTGACCAAGTGTTGTTACTTTGAAGCTGATCCTTCATCCATGATGGCTGCCAGATGGGGACAATGTTTAACAAAGGACCCTATGGATGATACATACAAATGTCTTCTTTTAGAGAACCACATACTGAATGGATTGAAACCAAACATGGCATGAATGTTCCTTATGAGGTGCTGACTAAGTTTTGTTACTTTGAAGCTGATCCTTCATCCATGATGGCCGCCAATAGGGGGACTTCCTTTAACATAAGACCCTATGGGAAATACATACAAATGCTTCTTCTAGAGGTGCACTGAATGGAATGAAACCAAAACATGGCATAAATGTTTCTTATGAGGTGCTGATTAAGTGTTGCTACTTTGTTGCCGATTTACTGTTCAAGATGGCCACCAGGATTTTTTATTAAATTACAGGACCAATATTATACCAAATTTGGCCTCACTCATTATTAGGGTATCTGTTATGATTTTAATCTATTTTTACATGATTTCCAAAACCAAAGTAGAATCAGGTGAGCGACACAGGCTCTTGAGAGCCTCTAGTTTATAGTTACCAAGTTGATACAGTCTTAAAAGTTTGTTACAGGTCAATTACTTTGTCAAAGCTTCATAGAATTTTATGAAACTTTGGCAGAAGCTTTTTTATGATTAAGAGTTAAATGTCTGAAGCAAACTTTTAAAAATTTTGTTTTTTTCATTTTCAGTTTTTTTCTGATAGATAGACTTAGTTTTTTTACAGAACTTTAACACTTACAGACAGTCTGGGATTAAATTTTTTTGACATGGTAAATTTGTAAACCTTCATCGATTGTTATGAAACTTAGACAGTAGCTAATCTTCAATACCACGAAGCTAATCTTCAATACCAAGAAATAGCATCTAAAGAAAATTTAAATTTTTTTTTTTAAATTTCTGTATTTTACTGATAAATTGACTCACTTTTTAAAGTTGATATTACACTTTTACATTGACAGTAGCAATAGCAGGGGAGACACTCGGTTCCGCAGCACCCCTCACAAATTTTTAATTCTTGTAATTTGAAAACCTGAAAAACAATTTTTACCCTGTAAGTTACATTTTCATGATTCTTTCTCAAAACTTTGTAACAACTTTTTAGACTGGATTATTTAGATCTTGATTACTTGATATATATTAAGTAGACACTTATCTATTATTAGATATTGTGCTTGATCTCTAGATGATTTTTGTTGTTGTGTTGCTGTCTTTTTGATGAACATCTTCTTTTATTCATATAGACTTATTTCCAGTCCCTTTTTATGCCCTGCTGTGGTGGAGGGGATATCAAGTTTTACCCTTGTTAGTCCATACGTCTGTAGGTCCCAAAATTAGTTTCCTTTCTCTAACTTCAAAGTTTGCCTCAATCAAATGTTATGAAACTTGTACACAATGCTTATTATCATCAAACACAGATTAAGTTCAGATTTTGGTGGCATCACTAACACCGTTCACCCGTTAAGTCCCTTTATAAATTGAAAAAAAAAACTGGCAAGTTTGTTGTTTACACAAGAATTTAGTTTGCCTCAACCAAATGGTATGAAACTTATACACAATGCTTATTACAACCAAACACAGATCAAGTTTGAATTTGGTTGGTATCAATTTCACTGTTATCGAGTTATGTCCCTTTATAAATAGAAAATTGATGAATTTGCCATATATTTACAAGCGGGGGCATCTGTGTCCATGGACACATTCTTCTTTTATTTATAAAAGCGTTGCATCATTTGAAAACTGTATCAAACATATTAAATGACTTCATTTTACAATTGAATCTTAATGCGACAAAATAACATAAGCTTTGTGACATCAGAAATATACGGGAAAAATGCATGAATGTCAAAGTATACTGTTTAATGCCAACTTAGTATTTACACTCTATATTTA